ACTGCTATCTTAATGAAGGGGGGGGCAAGAGAGGAAGTCACATTATCTCTGTAAACCTCAGACTATATAAATTTGTTACAGACGCGACGAAGTTTGACGAATGCTAAACGAAATAAAGAAATCAAAATTTTCGTACAAGCTACATTTTTATTCTGTTATATCAGTGCGCTTATCATTCTTTGGCACAATGCAGGTGCGTCTTTTTGCATTCAGTGAAACTGAAGATTGAACCAAATTGAATACGTGTCGTATTTCTGTTCAGATGACTGGTTTTTCATGACTACTGCAACTGTTGCTATCTTAAATTCTTCCTGGATAATCTTCCTTTACGCGAATCCATGCCTGCTCATAACCTTAAACCCGTAAGTTGTTTACGAGGACATGTAAACGCCCATGTCATCCTTATTGGAGAAAAGCGGTAAAATAGCAGTTGTTACGCTGCAGCCTGTGACCGATTCATAAGGAGCTTGGGCGCACTGTGTACGTCTGGATTCCACGATATCTCAGACATATTCTCCCTTCAGGCTTGTCTACTCAGAGTCTCTGGCAGCAACTTAACATTTCAATTCTTCCACTCTGTGCCTATGACTTAACAAGAACACATTGCACCCAAGTTCCTTATTAATCGGTTCTAGGCGACGGAAGACTTATAACGTGTATTAAAAAGCATTTCGAAGCGGAGAGCAAGTGCTCAAATAACGACGTTCTTCGAAAAAATTCTATTATTCAGAACAGTTCGGAGAAAGGTGATGGCAGTTTTTGGTTGGGGAAAAAGCCATGACCGCCGGGTTGTGGCGTTTGCGCAGCTGAATCAAAGCAAGACAACTCAGCTAGCCACGCGCAGTTCTATTATTTGCTGAACTACTATTGTAAACCTGTTCCACATTTTACCTATCTCTGTTTGTTTCGTAAGAGTTGTTAGTGTTCTCGTCGAATAAAAATTTGCCCTGATGACAAATGGAGTCTTCAAGAAACCCCATGCAGGTGAGGACAGGACACGCCATCGCCCTAGTTGTGATAGATTTCTGCTGAATGCGCCCCCCCCTATAAAAAGGGTCTCGATACGAGCCCCCCTTGTCCGCTGCTAGTCTGGTAGCAGCGGACCAGATCAGCAGCGGACAAAGAAACACCGAAAGTGGAAGATCTGCGAAAATAAACGACAGAAAACGCCAAGCTAATTAAGGATAAATATTCTAAACACGACGAAAGTAATTCATGATAAATCTTAAATGAATTAACAAAACTAATAAATTATGAATGAGCATTGAAATAACACAAGGAAAGAAAGGAAATGCGGGAGTTGCAAGTGCCAGCACTTGAATATTAATTGTTCGCGGTCATTCAAAGGTGAGCGCGCTTTGTGCTGTGGTATTGGAGCGAGCTATCTTCACGGTTCGGATGCAGTCTCAAGCCAAGCACTCCGAAGAACCTTCGCTTAAACATTCTCCTTTGAGAGTGGACTTCTAGAGGGAGAACGCAGGACTGTGGAGCACTGTGTTGACACTTATTACCTGACTTCAAACGATTCCAAAAGAAATATTTTCAAGAAACCCTCTCCGTTGTGATTCGGTTGTGATTTTTGGGATTCATTTACAAGTCCTTGCGCTTTGAACTGCCATAACAATCTTCATGCAAGGCCATTTGTAAAACAAAAAGCAGTGATGGAATTTTGAAGGTTTCTACTATCTAGCAGAAATTTCATTTCCCCCCTAGGCCTGCTATTCGAAAAACCCCCGTGGTGATGCGAACGCAACCCCTTCCGGAAGACAGGAAAACCTACCTCTCCGACGCCATGAAACATCCAGTTCCTTAGAAGACTTTGGTATGGTAGGAGTATCAGGAAGTAGTTCATTGGGCGCCAATTGGCATCACCTCTGTAATGCGCCATGCATAGGGCTCTCACGCAGAGGTATCAGGAAGGTGGAACCTTTAATAGGGCTTAGTCCGTGCTAGTATTGTGCTCCTGCGATCAGAAAGGTCCAGAAGTGTATTTTCATCTGTTTATTGATTCATGACGTCGTTGTGGGCGGCCATCGTATTTCCTGTCATCGCCCGTTCCCCACTTCTGCGCTGGCAGGTTGCTTCTGTCTTGTGTGTGTGTCTCTTCAGGGGTTCTTCACATGGATAAGTCTTTCATCATTGAAGCTGAACGATATCTGAGTGTCGCTGCACTCTCCACTTCGGAAAAGAACCCTCCTTTCCCTCGAGGTCAGGTACGACGTGTTGTGATTATCACAACGATGGCGTGCCTATTAAGGTAACACTTTCCATACTCTGGCGAATGTCACGGTTGTCGCTTCCCACTCCAAATCTGAAGAGGGCGGCATCTGTAGAAAAGCGAGTGTTTGTAGTGTACAGTGAAATAAAACGATGTGTCGATGTCCCAGATCTGGATAAAAGCTTGTCACAGCTATAGTTGGATGCTACGAGCACAAACTTCCTTTCGTTCAAACTCTTACGCGCTGCGGTACTCACTGCAAGCGCCAAAACGCTTAGCTTTCCTATAGACTGCACATTGTTGCAGTTTGTTAGCGAGCCTAGTGGCCTTGTTTCCGCTCATGAAAGTTGGCCGTTCCAAAATGCATACGTCAGTATGTATACTATCTTAACCAGCCAGTTGACCTTGGAATTAGAGGCGTCGTTTTTCTGTCAGCCACCTCTCACAAGAAAAGTATGAAGGAAGCAGCTTTTTGTAGGCGATGAGCCTTACACGGAGAACCGTTAACATGTCGACAAAGATCTTCCAGCCATCTCATAAGGAAGGAGCAAAATGTCTCTTCTATCAGACATTCGAATCATCGTCCTAGCAGAGGTGAGGATGTGACAAACACAGGCAGCTTGTTTTTTTTGTCTTTTGCTTGCAGTATTTGTTGCTAATTTTTCTATGTTCTTCACACCTGGTGGCGGCATATTACACCAAATAAATAAATAATGGCGCTTGGTGTACACGGCATATGGAATTGAATAAATAAATAACGGCAATCACACGCTGTTGGAAGACAAACTGCGCACTCACTTCCGTGGATGCCAATCCTTGCCATGTATGAAGGCGAATAGATTCACAGTGCAGTAGCGTGTCACCTTCTCCTGTCAAGGTTTACGCGGACGGGCTGTGGGGCCAACTGCCGTCTCCTTGTCCACCGGCGCTTTCTTGAAGGTGCAGTACTTGCGTTGATATCAAGGTTCCGTGGAGAAATACGAGGCCATCAGAATGATCGAACAAGAGGGCACTGACAGGAAGCACGTTTGGCTATGGTCAGGCATGTGCTTGCCATGGGGCAGCGTGGGCGGAGTATAAGTATGTCGGTTTTGCCCTCCCTTATCTGTTCCTGAGCACTTTTGGCCGGATAAAGTGGCGCGCTACTGCAGAGAGGATATACTTTCTGCACACGGCCTGGACGAGGATCTGCCGAGTGATTGTACTGTTTCTCTCTGAACTGTCAAGATATGCTCTTAACCTTGTGTTTGAAATATGGGTTGACCGTATGTATACCTTTGTAATTTTGGATTCCTAATGAACGTTCGAAGAAAAGTCGAGCTGTGTATTTTTCGAGCGGCCATGTTTTTTTACGACTCAGTGAGAGAATCCGTCGCCTTCCAAGTTTGCCCTGCTCACGCCACTTCATTAATGAAGCACAAACATGTAGAGTAACAAGTCCTGGATTGGATTCGCGGCGCAGAATCACAGAATGCCCTAGGCGGAGTTTTCTTTCCGGAAATTTCAAGTGTTCCCTTTCATATTTCGATAATTTCCGCTTTTGCTCAAGTATTGTAACTGCTCCCTAGTCAAGATAAGACTGAGGAAAAACTACACTTTCGCTTTCCAATTTTCTTACGATTTTTTTCATCCACACAGCAGCAAACGAATGTGAACAACAGGCCAGGCTATTCCCTTCCCTGTTTCATGTGAAGAGCAAATGTGCTGAAACAAGTAAGGCGACAAATGGGCTACACAACTCTTACGGCGGAAGTTATTGTAAGAGCGTCGCGCTCTGCGAGAGTAGCGAGCTCACCTCCATGGTGGCTATCTTTCTAGCTTCGTCATCTAGATTTCCTCGAAGCACATACAACCGCATTACCGTGTACACAGAACGCTGAAAAATTATATCAAAAGAGAGCTCTCTCGGGAGTTTCTCTTGATATTTTCTTGGTTTAATGTTCTATGTTCTTCGTTTCATGCTACACTTTTGTTTTACATTTCACGTCCGTGACCAACGTATTGTGACCATTGTTCCACCATCAGAGGGGTAGAGCGGTTTGGGATTGCCTTGAGCTTAAATTCTGAGTCGCCGTATGGCACGCACTAGAGAGCGTCACCTAGTTGGTGGGCTAGAGAGATACAAACAGAGAGAGAGACAGCTAGTCGACTTGAGAGGCGCACACGCAGGGACAGCATTAATAGTCTACTGTCGCACCACTGCTTCGTTGAGAGGAATTGGTCCTAGCTTGAAGGCTGAATGTTTCGCCAGCTCATAACGCCTAGTTAGCTGTATAACCGCTCGATGGGAGGTGAAGCTCCACCCACTGCGGAGTTTGCCTCAGATGTGGATCTATTGACAATGCCATACTGAAACTTTACTTTGGTGCGAAATGCCTGTGAAATATATACACTGCGTGATACTATACATTAGAGTAGTTGTGATAGCAAAATGTTCATCAATACTTTCCTACAGTGGACTGGCGATTGAATACAGAAACCGCAGCATGGTGACCGTTTCTGTGCCTTCTACACCGAGCAAAGTTGATAATATCCTTGCGAAGATCCGATGAAAGTACCACAAGGCAGAAGGGTGGTACGCACATCATGACGTCATTTATCCAGTAAAACTAGAATCACCATCTCAGTATTACACAATACGAATCATCGCGCTCACAAGTTTGTTAAGGTTTCTTGACCAGCCCTGTGGCTAAGGCACGCTGTTGTGTGCACCTTACGATACAATTTTATCGAGCATTAACATTCAGCACTGCATCAACCAACAATGCTTCCGTCTTATTTACTCCCCACCCTAACCCCCTCCCCCTCACCATAACACTTTTTCGATCAGATCACTTCCTGATACAAATTTGCTACGACGCGAGCTATGCATTTGGTAACTCTCCTTTTATAATGCTCTTTATCAGATTCAACCAGCTATTATCTTTTCTTTACGGCCAAACTGCATCACACTACATTCAGATTTTTATGTCCGGGAATCCATCCAAGTAGTTATTTCTACTCAAAGGAACAGCAAATGGCTTAAAAGTCTTCGTCCTAAGAAGGCTCAAATAACGGCGCCGAAGTGTAGCACTCTTTTTACGAAGACGGTCTAAGTGAATTATGCAGGTGCTCTCGCTCAAACGTCGCCTCCGTTCCCACTCTCCCGGGTCCCCTGGATGACATGGTTTTTATAGGAATATAAAAACCTGTTCCGCATTTTCCATATGAAGCACGTTTAGCCGCAAAGAAAATCTCACTGGGAAGGTAGTCCAGTACTAAAATGCATGTGTTCTGGAGTCCATTCATTTCAACAAAACATTTCAATAGTAATCATCGCATGCAAAACACCTCGCCTTATAATAGGAATTGGAGGGAAAAATCACCTGGCACGGTTGCCCAAAGGTCGAATTCCGCATTCTTAGTAAGAGAAGCAATTGCCTTCGAGATTTGTTGGGCGCACATCAACATAGTAGAAATAAACACGAGCGCTGTATATACTAATAACGCTACCCTGAATCGGCTTTTTTACTGTACAGAGACTATGAATGAGTCGGGACACGAGCAACCCTTCCGATCAACTTTTTCTCTTTTGGCTGATCAACGTTTTCATAAGTCTACGGTGAATTTTGTGTGAAAATGAATGACAAAAGAAAATAATGCGAAAACGAATCAATGGTGAAATATCGTAAAATTGCGCAGGCTTTTTACGTGAAAAGTTAACTTCGATTTCAACATAGAAGGAAACAGTTGAAGTAGGTACGAAACAGTTACAGAAACAGCGTGAAGTATTCATTTTTCTGGGGCTCAACCCGAAATACCTATTTGTGCTTTGAGTGGTTTCTCTTGCACGCCTTTGCTCAAAGTGCTATGCTGATGATAGTTCAGTTAATAATCGGGGATCTGCATACTCTTTTCAATATACGGTTTCTGGCTTATAGGTGACGTGTTTCTGCGTCAGATGTTGCATGTGGAATAGCGCAAGCTCTTCTCTCCCTTCTCTACACTGATCGAGGATCGCTCTAATCGTCCCAGAAAAGAGAAATGATTGACCTCACCTTCTCATAGCCAGTATTCCTCGAACTGCCACCAAACTTTGTCAGCTTACGCCATTCGATGGAAAGCCTAGCGTTGAGAACCAGGCTCAAAAGTGCGTAAATGAGGCTCCCTCCAAAATATATTATTCTGTTCCTCTGCAAAATAAAGTGATTATTTCGATTCACACTGCCTTCAATCCGACACCGTCCTTACTTTTTCAAGGCCTCAAAGGCTGTTTCTCTTCTTGTTGTCAGCCAGGCTGCTTTGCTTGCTTTTCCCTATCCTATGTTATTTCAAAGAGCCCACGACACTCGAACGCAGAAGCATAGCTTGTCGTTCATGTGAAATTCTCCCCTTCATACTGTCAGCAGTATGAGAGCATTTTGCTTCTTCTTGGAGTGGCAATGCTCATTCCACAAAAGACAGTTGCCAGACACAAGCAGTTATCAAACAACATAATTATGTGGTAACGATCGAGTTAAAGACCACATAGCTATCGGGCAGAATGTTTTCATGTATGAGGCAGGTCTCTTGATACGATATTAGATGAACTTATTACATGTGAAGGTGTAAAAGCAGGATCACTATGCAGGAACCCCACGAATTCTAATTTAAGCCGGCGCGTCACGCGTTTTCCTTCTCGTAGTTTGAAATACTCTTACCGCAGTCGAACTTAAACAGCGCAAACACCTCTATCCTTTGTAGGAGTCTAGCGATATGGAGGAGTGTACTCCACTTTCTACTATTTTCTGTGCTTTTCCTAGTACTACACTGCGTTCGTAGGTGTGGCTCAATGACCCTAGCTGGCATCAGTGGGAGACAGTCGAGGAGTATGTATTCTTGCAAAAGGCTAAAGTAAAATTGCACGTGGAAGTCTTCTGGAGGGCAATCAGGCGAGAAAATTTCCAGAATTTTGACTGGAAATACAAATGAATGAATATACAAACTGACCCAACTGGCGCCTGTCTCTAAACCAACGTATGTGAAACTGCCATCATCATTCTGCGTGTAAATAATTTTCGACCCAAGAATGTGAGTAAAAGCAGCTAAAGCTACAACGTATTGCACCAGTATCATAACGCAAACATTTCGTCTGTTCCATATCTAAAGAAGACTGTGTATCATAAATCGACAGAATTCCAGCCAGCTTTTAATTCCACAGCAAGAGGAAGAGAGGCGGTCTCATTCCGAAACTAGTTCGGAAGAGAATTTTATTATATTACCAGCTTGGCTGGCGCGCACTACTGCGCGCATTTTTCAGTCTGCTGACCCCTAACACTTGGCGTAATTCCCATGTTTCAATTCGGCCCATTTCATCACATTTCCATATTTCTCCTCTTTAATGAGCAATTGCCAATGTGCTTATCAGATTTCTAAAAACACAGATCATTCGTTGGCAATAGAACGGCTTAGCGGTTGAAAGGTAACAATATCGAAATCATAGTGAAATGTGCTTACATCATAATACTTCCGTTGAGCAGCTTTCACATATCCGTCTGTTGGTGGCTCTTATTTCCCCACTGGCAAACAACTTTAAGCTTTTACTTTTTGTCAAAACTCGAGAGTTTAGCGGTCGAATCAATTCCGACTATAACACTAAAGGATGGAAACTGAGCCTTTGCGCACTTGATTCCATGGGCCACGGTGGTCAACATCAGTCGCAAGCGGAGTGAAGCTGCGAACAGATACTGACCCTTGTCGTACACTATATCACAACTTATCTCCCACCACCAATGTTCCCTAACCACCTCTGAATTGCTTACTGGAAGAAGTTCCCCAGTGTGCTACAACTCGTGCATTGAATTTTGTGGCTTCCTCTCTGAAGTGGCCCCTATGGTATCTTATCAGCTGTTGTTACGCTCCTGCCACCCACCAATAATGTTCCCATCCTGCCCCTATCTTACTACTTGGATCCAACGTCCGGTCATTGCTCTGGCCGGTGTTATGAATTAGGTAACCCACTCCTTCTGAAGGCTCCTTATGGTATCTTATCAGCTGTTATCACTTCCTGCCACCCACCAAAAATGTCCCCATCCTGCCCTCTATCTTACTTCTTGGAACCAACGTTCTACCGCTGCTGTGACGCGCGTTGTGAATTTGGTGACCCTTATCTTCTGAAGGTTCCTCATGGTATCTTATCAGCTGTTATCACTTCCTGCCACCCACCAATAATGTTCCCATCCTGCCCCCTATCTTACTACTTGGATCCAACGTCCGGTCGTTGCTCTGGCCGGTGTTATGAATTAGGTAACCCACTCCTTCTAAGGCTCCTTATGGTATCTTATCAGCTGTTATCACTTCCTGCCACCCACCAATAATGTTCCCATCCTGCCCCTATCTTACTACTTGGATCCAACGTCCCGTCGTTGCTCTGGCCGGTGTTATGAATTAGGTGACCCACTCCTTCTAAGGCTCCTTATGGTATCTTATCAGCTGTTATCACTTCCTGCCACCTACCAATAGTGTTCCTGCCCGACCCCCTACATCACTTATCAGTTTGAGCGCTCACTCTTTTGAAGGAAGTTATGAATTTCCG